ACATACAATTCAAAATTTAATATTAAATTTCGCTTTTTTAATTAATCATAATATAAATTATACATTTTATATGGTAAGTATTTTAAAATATAATTAAGCACTGCTTAAAAACTATGACACCAGCAAAATAAATGTATTTCTTTTTGTACTGACACCTATTGATCGGCCAAATTTGCTAAAAATGCTTAATAACTTATTTTTATGTTCATTTGTTTTTTTTTTAAGACGATTCCCGATGCGCAAACGAAATATATCGCAAGAGAAAACAAAATTGTTTTCATTTTTTATTTTAATAAAATAAACTCTGTACCTCGAATCATGTAAAGAAATATCTTGAGTATATGCTTATACTCATATACCTGTATGTCATATACCTGTATGTCAGCCAAATTGAGATTAATATACTTTTTATGTGGTTTGGTTCTGGGTTCAAACCAATGCCACGCCACGACTCGAACTGTAGATCTTTCAATTTACAATAACATTTTTTTTACCATAAATGAACTTAGTATCATTTTATATTTTAAATGATTTCGTTGAGTATTTAGAGTACAAACTATCTTGAGCGCAGTGTCAAAAGATTCGAAAACTTCAAAGACTATTTCGAAATGGAAAAATTAAAATAATCTTCTGAACCAACAATAAACCTGATTTAATTGAATATATGGTAAGATTCGGTTCAGCGGCAGATGTGCCTGTTTTTATTCTGGCTTTATGTTCAGTCTATGAGTCGTGTTGAGTCGGGCTTAACATACACAGCATAAAACTATTGAACACGAATACATCGTATTGAGCTCTACGTTTTCGTGTCACGTAGAAATACACGCGCTCATATCCCCGAATTGGGCGCACTCACTGGTTTATGCCACACACGTCGCTAGTGGAAATTCAATGCAAACTTTTGCGCAAATTAACAAATTTTCAAATCTACTAGCACAACAAAAATAAGTTCTATTTGCCTATGTCGCAGTTTGTTTATGCTGCTACCTTGATGGGGCGTGGCGAGGGCATGGTCAAATTTTGTGGCCAGGCCACAAATGCTACAAACAATTGTGTGTGTTTTTCTTTAGTAAATAACTCGACACGAGCTCGGACTTTGACACTTTTTTGTTGCATAGAATTGCGGCATGCAAATTTAATTTAGCAACGCCTGCAGGCAAACCGGGTCGTTATCGTGTCGTGGCCCAAACAAACACACACGGACACACACACGCACACACACAATTTGATTAAATTATATATTTTTATAAGGAATATTCGTTGGTATCTGTTGAATATTAAATCCGAGCGGCAAATATGCAATTTTTTAAGTAATTTATCAAATATGGAGTTATGCGCTGTCGCAAGAAAGCAAATCTTTCGGCTCAGCTAAAGTAATTACTTTTGCAAATGGAAAATATGCAACAGACGAATGGACCAATTGATGTGTGTTTTCCCTTAGACATGGCTTTTGCTGCCGTCCAGATTTATTACCCGTAACGTGGCTCGTTTTTCCAATTCATACTTCATTTATATGTTGATGACAAAATTTGAATGCAATCTTGGCCAAAGGCCATCTGGGAGCAACGAGTCGCATTTATTGCGTTTCAAACTTTCAACTCGACTTAACTTGGCTTAAACAGGCAACTGGCTTTAAGAACTGACAACCCAGCTCATAATAAGCCTTTTGCCACGCACGCACGTAAACCGCGTGCCTGTGAATTGTGTGAGTGGAAAAAAAATATAATCAAGCCTTTGCCGAGAGGGTTTGACTGGTAGATGCTCTGTAGCCCACTTGTGAAATAATCTAAAATATTAAATATTTATAAACATTTATATATGCTACTTGATTCGATAAATTTACTTAGTTATGAAAGTTTGTATTGCTCTGCTCCAACAAAATATTCTTTTAGAACTCTTGTGTCTACTGCGCGATTTGTCTGAAACTTTAAGAGTACTAAGATAGAATACTAAAATGTTCATATGCCAAAAAATAAGACATTGATTTAAAAATACAAATATAAACTATACATAGTTAAGAATATTGTACTAAGTATCTAAGTAGCTATTCTATAGTCGACCAAGCAGGCAATCATTAAATAGGGAGATAATGCCTTCGTTGATCAAGAATACATTAATATACAACTTTCATTAGCAGCTCAAAGAGTAAAGCCAACAGTAACACACAAAGGTACTAACAAAATTATTATATTAATAAGTAAATATTGCAAAATATCAAAAATGACTCAAAAAGATCACAAAACAATAAAAGCAAAGAAAAGGCAGAAAATATCGTGGAAAAAAGGGAAGATACACGCAGCAGCCTCACGATTTGCCTGCTTACCAAGACCTTCTATTGAATACAACAATTGATATTCATGTATATTAATGTTGTAAAGCTAAACATTTGCTGCGAAGCGAACCGAACAGAATGACAAATGCTAATACCCTGCATTAGAATGTGGCTGTTGATTGTCCCGAACTCAACAACTCATTTGTGGCGTTTGTTTGGCGCTCTGTTTGTTGCCTTTGCAAATTAGTGACCGGCATTCTGACAGTGCATAAAAATGCAAAACACATTTTGTCAAGCGAATGTTATTTTGCAAATGCTTTTTCATTACATTTTTTCTTGCTTGTTGCAGTTGGGGCATGGCTAGAGACAGCTCTTTATAACCAGCCCAAAAGTATGCTATAATTTTTCTTGCAGCTGCAATAAAGTGCGCTGTTTTGTGCCAAGACAAACGCAACTGCAATGTACTTCAAATAGATTTTTAATAGTCCAGCTGACACACACACACACACAGGGGTAGCAACTCAAAGAAAGCATCGTTTCATTGGGCTGGCAGTCGCTTTTATGTTGAGCCTTTGTTGACAGTCGAAAACATTTATGCGATTTTGTCGTTAGACGCACAGAGCAAATAAAAATTTATGAAATACACAGACAGACACACACAATATGAGAAATGTGCAGATACAAAATACTTCTATAAGCATTTAAAAAGAGATAAACTACTGTGAGTGTTCTAGTCGAAAGTTCCCGACTTGAAGATACCCTGACTCACAACCTCTTTAACAAGCACACGGACACACACACATACACATATGCATGGCGCAAGCTTCTTCTTTCCCTAATCCGCACTATAGAACATGGTTTCGTGGTTATCTTCTGTACGTATGGGCCGATCCTTTCCGAGGTATACATACCTAAAAACCATGTCTTAATATTGATTGGAATTCGAAAATGGGAAAGGATATGGAAGATCAAAATTGGCAATCTTATTCTGTGTATGTAAGGAATACATATATTTTAAATTCTTAAGCTTATGTAGCTTCCGAGATCGACGGGATGACAAAGACAGACACACAAACGGATAGACAGACGGAAAAAGACATGGCTAGATCTATATACCTGGAGATCGGAGATGCCTCCTGCTGCTTTTTATGGAATTGCAGATGCCGCCTTCAGCCTGTTACATACATGAGCACAAAACAATTATACCCTTTTTAAACATATTCAACGAGTTGAAGGCATAAAGAGAACGAAATTGAGGAGAGGACATTGGGTAACAGCTGACTAAATTTGCAATTGTCAAAATGAATTAATGTTTAACGGGCAAATTGCTTCTGTTATCTTTGACTATATATGCTGTAGGTCATATTTAAGACTGCTGCATCTAAAATTACCCAAGTAATTTGCTGGCCAATATTTTGTGGCCTTTGCAGCCATTTAACGGCAGCAGACAACAACTACAAAACGTGGGTAATAAAGTGCCAAATAAATGAAATAAAGCTGTTGAACAAGTCGTATGTTTCTTCCGGCTTTTATTACAAAACACACTTAAAACACACAAATAAAAACGCAAATAAATAATACATAAACTGCCAAACAATTGAAAATTGTTCGCCCAATGCAAGCTCTTAAGTGCTTACTAAAGGCAGCGCCCAAGTGCTGCTCAAGACCAACTGCAAATACACAATTCAATTTCGATGCTTAAAGCGTTCTACTGGATACTCCCACCCTGCCGCCCAACCTCTAGCAGTAGGATTACAGGCAAATTGCAAACGTCTTTGCATGTCTCGCGCACAAGCACACTAACACCCACACACACACACTGCAACACACACAAAGCTAGCCTAGCAAACTAATTTTATTGTACACCACATTCATGAGCACTCGGATCCTAACCCTCTACTGCTCCATAGCCTCTCTCCCATTTCCTATGGCAATCGTGTGCAAAAATTTTAACAAGAAAATTGTTTAAGTGTTTCGTCTTAAGTGGCCTCATGAAGGCCAGTTGAAGGAAATGCTTAGCGAGCGGCTTTAAGCCAATCAGGTTGCAAGGAAATAAACTAAATTTCTGCATACCTTGACTTTAAGCTAATTTTTCTTTTTCATTTGTTTACACGTGCTTTGAGCTCAAGCTAAAATAATAATAAAAATGTATAATAATAAAAATAGCAAATAAAGGTCACTTAAAAAATACTTGTTCAATACTTTTGCCATTAACATTTCGCAGCTCTGGTAAATGTACTTAATTAATTGACATATTTCATTATCTTTATATACGTATTTAATCATTTTCCATCACTGTCTACTGTAAATAAATTATATACATTTTTTGTTATCTTATTTTATTAATAAATAAAAAATTATTTTTATGGTAATGTGCAACACTGCAACTATTTATGTTTAGAACTATGCAACACTGCACTTCACACTGGCAAAAATGCAATGCTATGAAAATGTAAAAAAAAAGTTAAATAATTACAAGTATAATTGTATTTTTTATAACTATACGGGAAAATACAAATTGCTTAAAAGTGTTTAGGAAAAATATATCAAACTATTTTTTTTTTTCATTTTAATATTTGGTATCCGAAGCTAGGTTTCCGTTATATAAAACTAGAACTCAAGCTCTTGTTCAAATGCTTTTAAATCGAAACATTATAAAGGTTGGCAACTCCAAAAGCCTTGTCACTTGTCAAAACCACAGCGGTTGACATTAAATATAGGAGCTCAAGTAAATAACTTAACAAATGTCATTTGAAAACATCGAAAACAATAAAATATGCCCAAACTTTTTCGCAGTTTTTTCTCCGATCGCTATAATAAAAAGCACGAGCGCTTCTACGACAAATATGAAGGTAAGTAAACACGAAATCATGCAGAGCTATCTTTATATGCTATATATTGTACATTCTTCAGCCATATGTCTAGCTATACCCAATATGCCTCCCATGCCACGCCCTCCCGTATACCAAGGCAAAGTCATCCATGCACCGAAATCTGTGGGTGGAGAGCACAAGCTCGGCGGCAAGAAATTTCACTATGGGAGTGGGGAACCCAGCAACGATTGGCGCGCCGGCGATAATGTGCCCATTGTGGAGCGCCGGCGCATGGAGGAGGCCGGTGATATACAGCTGATGGACATTGAATTGAATCCGAGCAGCGAATTCAGTCACACAATATGGGAAGTGGAGCTGCCGGGAGAGGAACTGAGCATATTTGCAGACAAGAAGCCAGTGAAGAACGGCGGCACCAATCTTGGCAGAATCAAAATGCTGACCAAGGCCAAAGGACGACGCAAAAAGACGGATATCCAAAAGCGTGCCGAGCAACAGCTGCAATCGACGGCACAGGCCATGTCCACCAGATCGCCGAGAATGTTGCCCAACGAACAAGTCAAACAGGAGCTGGTCAAGAAGCCTACGGATCGGCGGCGTCTCAAGCAGCCGGGCGAGCAGTTCGTCTGCGGCGATTGCAACAAAAAATTCGATCATTCCTGGATGCTGGTGGCACATAAACGCACCCACACGGGCGAGAAGCCCTTCGTCTGCCCAGAGCAGAACTGCCAGAAGTCATTTGCTGATCGGTGAGCCATCCACTTAATAATAATGTATAATATTATTTTCCATTTGTAGCTCCAATTTGCGCTCTCATCAGCGCACCATGGGTCATCATCGCTGGGAGTTCCAGTGCGGACAGTGTGGCAAGTACTTTAGCCAGGAGTGCTATCTGAAACGACATTCCTTGGATGCCTGCCGCAAGTATCTGCTGTCGGTTAGGCTAAAGAAAACTTGAGCTACAGTGGTTAAAAGAAAGTATTTAATATAATATTGCAGCTATTTCAGAATATAAATTCTTTTCATAACATTTCTTCTGCTTAAATTTAAAATTTTTAAATTCGTCCCAGTGCATGAAAAGATCACAGTTTTTTAAAATCATCGAAAGATAATCGATAAGAGTCATAGTGGAAGAAGCAGATATTTCGATGCTTAATGCGCCTTGGACACCAAAAAGTACCTTGTTTATATATCTTTACAGTAATATATAACCAAGAAATCGATAATAATACATATGCAACTCCTTTTTAGTTTTTAATAAATTTCCAAGGTTATATATAGATACAGACACCAAAAATATATTTCCCCTTACTCAAAAATTATACAGCATCTGTTCGGCACTCGTTTTAGGGTATATCTTCGTCGGCCACTCCCATCTATGACACGCAACACAGCTCTTTATATCTAGCTAGCTAATCTGGCATTCAGCTAAGATAACATTAGCCTGGAACTCAAAACTGTATACTCTATATTCAGTCAAACGTACTTTTGTAGCTGTTATGCCTTTTTGCGCTGATTTCCTATTTGTGCTAATGTTTTATTTAAGTGGAGCCTTTCTTTTAGGATTAGACCAAACACCATTGAAAAGGTGCAAAAGGTGCTCTTTACTTTGATTACATCCCCGAATTCCTCTGTGAATGCAATGTATATAATATGTGTGCACAATACCCTGTGCAACCAATACCCGCCAACCCCTCTATCATTATGCTAGATGCCCCAACTGGCAGCTGCTATTTGACACCTAGCTGCAACTGCTTAACATTTCAAAGCGTTGGCCGGATACATTGGGCAAGTTTTTAAGTGCGTAGACGGGCAGACACAATGCAATTTCGTTCGATGCAACTAAATTGGCTCATTAGCAGACAAAGAGCCGAATTTCTTTGGGCTGGCTTGGCTGACTTGGCCATGGCCAAAGTTTCAAGTGTGTGAAGGCAATGTTCTGTTCTAAATCAAACAAAATGTGAAGGCAAAGTTTTGGCCACATACTCAAACACTCGCTCACACACGCACTTCTTTGGGACAATTAATGATCAGAAGGGAGTTTTTCGTGCTTCGATTGTGGTTAACCTCGGCCGCTGTGTAAACCCCACAATGGCCACGAATTTCACGGCAGCAGCTGCATGGCCTAATGCAACGGTCGAAATGCAAACAGTTCGATGCCTGCTTTGGCACAGGGACTCTGGCAACAACAATAACAAGTGGTGCATTGCAATAAGCTGCAGCCGACTGCACAATACTCTATTCACAGCAGGACTCCCAAACGGGCTTTTCATTTTCTATTTACCATTCATGAAATCATCTATCATATTATCGGGATAAAGAATAACCGAAAAAAATGTCTATTTAATCTAATTTATCAAAAATTCAGAAGGTAGAGCCCAGGTTCAGTTGAACAGATATGGAACCCATAAACTGTGACTTTTAAACTCGGACATTGAAAACATTCAAATTGCTTTTCTATCGGCGGCACTAAAAAAAGTTCTTGCTAACGATTTAACAAAACAAATATACCCAACTTAACTTTGCGAATAGAGTAATGCAAGATGAGACAGCACTGGTAATGCGTTAATTTATGGTCGCAAGATAAACAACGAACACACCGAAACGATTGAACGTTCGCCGAGGCAGGGGCCGAAATGATTTAAAGGTTTGGTCAAGTATAAAACGTGTGTCCACTAAAATGCAATTACTTAAAAGCGACTGCGAACTCTGCAGAGCACGAGAAGTAGGCAACAGTAAATGGCTGTTTATACCCTGAACCCATTGCTTTGGCGAATAAAGGGATTCTGGGCAAATGTAATAGGAGAGAAGAAGGCTTCTCAGACCCCAAAAAGTAGTCATATGCCTGCTCAGCATCAGCAGCCGACTCTAAATAGCTATAAAAAGTATAAGATACTAGATACTTGAAATGTTGAATATAGATCCACCTGTATCATCGATATCGAATTGCTTAAATTTTACCATATCTCAGAGTTTATAAGAGCTGGAGATACCAATTTTGTTATTTTGGATATCTTAGAGCTGTAACCGATGCGGAATATATGACTTTTTGATTTTCTCCCTAAGTATTCCACAAAATTGTCAAAAACGATATTATGGGACATAAATTGTATTTTGGACGCATAGTCTTAGTCTTTGGTGTTTACACATATTTGGATGTCATAATTAAGATCTCAAATTTCATAAATATCACGCGGTAAATAAGAAAGGTCTTCTAGAATACATTTCACATGATATGAGGCTATGTTTGTAGCGGCAGCTCCCGGCTCAGTTCAGAGCATCTTCTAGTCGGGTACACCCGACTTGTGTTTTTTCTTCTGGCAATTGGCCAAAATGTTCTTATTAAATATTTGATGCTGCCGAAGAGACGCGCGACAGGCGTCACATAATAAAATTGTAAAACACGAAATTTTATTGAGCTTCGTTGGCGCTATTAAGTTCTGGCAGCCTTTATTGAACGTGGCAAATGGCCGGCAAAGTGAATTTTTATGCCACCCAAAACGCACGCGGCACGTTGCAGCAACATCAGCAGCAACAGCAGCAGCAGCAGCAACAACAAAGATGAGCAGCTGTGGCTGTGTTCCATGTTGTCCTTTGCCAACGTATTTTTAAACTAATTTTCCAACTGGGAGCATTTCGTTGGTGTAGAGCACATCAGCCTTCTGGCCAAAATGTCTCTTGGTTAGCCAAGTTTGGTGTGTTTCGTATAAAGCTAGTTGAGCCGTAAATTATTTTAGCGTTTCAATTTGGCCAGAAAGGTGACCAGCTAACGAGTCGAGCAAGTTTGGACCAGAACAAAGTTAGCCAATTCGATATAATTACAATTTGCATTCAAAATTTGCAACCCTCTTGGTATTTTATATTTAATTATTTTAAAACTGAACTAAAATTTTAAGTTAGTCTTAAATGTTATTGTTAGTACATTAATTCAAAGCTGAAACTCTGCAGAACTTGGTAAAAGAATTTTCGAACCTAGCTAGTTTTTCAGGCCTGCAACACTGAGGATCGGGCCTTGGATTTTTGGCCAGCATGGCTGCAACCCCAATAAACGTTTTCAGCGTCTTGGTTCAGGGTTTAAGGCAAAAAAATATATAATATTAAAATAAAATAAAATTAAAATAACCATACATATTTATATTTTACTACATTGTCTGTCAAAATGCATTTATTTTTTATGCAACATTTTCGTTGTGCTATTAATAATATCAATATTAATATCTTGATAATTTTTTTTATTGCTCGAAAATATGATTGAAGCTTTCATGTGCCTTAAAAGCTTGTGTCAAATTGTAACAGTGTTATAAATAGCTAGTTAAAATCAAGCTTTAAGCTCTTATGTGCTTTAATAGCTTGTCTCACAGATGTGCCTTTGTTAAAGTTCATTAAGTAATTGGAATATTCTTATCAAGCAAAGGAATAAAGCTTAAAAATAATCAAAATCAATTGTTTGGAATGCTTTTAAAGTTCCATAGATACTAAAGTACGTTAAGCCTTAATGTGCTTTAAAATTTGTGACAAACTGTAACAGTCTTTCACTCTAATCACGCATAAATCCTTAAAAATCGGGCGTTAAGCTGTAATGATATGTAAAAGCTTCTCGCACTGATCTGCCTTTGTTAAAGCTGATTTAGTTATACGAATATTCTCCTAATAAACCTCTAATGCGAAAAGCTTGCGTTAAAGCTCATTAAGTAACTGGAATAATAACGCAAAGTGTTAAAAATAGAATCAAGCTGCGGTTTACAGAACTTTTGAAGTCCAAAATGACTTGATCTAATATGGTTATTATTTTTGGGCTAGTTTTAAATGTATTTTTAAAGCATCTGTTAAGTTATTTAAGTTTCAGTGTTGCCATCCTTATTTCTGACTTTGTGCTGAAACCTTTTGCTGCTTTCTCTCTCACGTGTCTACTAAAATGTCAGCTAAGTTAAAATGTCGAATGCCGTTTATTAGCGCATTTCGTCCTGCACCTGATGGCCATCAAAAACCGCCGTGCGATGCTAAATTTGCGGTTGATGAAAAGAAAACGTCAGCAACAAGCAGCTGCACAGCGCAGCCAGCGAGAATTTATGACCCACCGCCCGAAAGGAAATGCAAGGCACGTTCACACACTTTAAGCTGCATTTAAGGAACTCGTATATCTTGACAAAAACATTTATTTACTTGGGCAGCCGATAGTTACGCTTCTGGTACATGGCATTTACTTGATCCACCACGTTTTCATCCAGCTCGACGGACGTTGCGGACTGCTCCTCATCGGCGGCGTCTATTTCGTTGGCCCCAGCCCTGAAGCCGGTTGCCGGTTGCCTACTGTCCAATCCGGGACGAATGATATCCGCTGTGTTGCGACGTGCTGGTAAAGTGGGCACAAATCTGGGTACGAAACGCACTTCAGGCTCCTCGCAGCATTGACTCAGGCAGCAGAAACAGCAGCAGGTTAATAAGATTAGAGTAATAAAAGCCAAGGGAATTACAATATAGAGCAAAGGTATGTGAAAAAAATTATCCGATTCGTTAAGATACGCCCACAACTTTTCCAACTCTGAAGTGAAATCCATTTTAGATGTGCTATGTGTGTACCTCGACAAAGGAAACAAAACTGAAACCCATCGAGTCTTAAGATATTTATTTGTGATCAGAAAGGGTATTTAAAAATAATAATATATGGGCCGGGTTTGTGGCTTTTGAGGCTGCGGGCTGTGATTCAGTGCATTATTTACAAACAATCGAGAAATCACAAAAGTTTTCATAGCAATTAAATTAATGAGCAATCAGCTGCTTATCGGCATTATATATCCTGTTATACCCTGTGCATAACTTGCTAAGGGTATCATAATGTTATGCAAGCTCTGGCACAAGCAAAGGCATATGCACATATTTAACTAGGAATATATAAAATCGATCAGTAATCAGAATAGAAACAAGTAAACGATCTGTGCCAATAGAAGAAACTTTTAAATTTCTGTGAACTGATGAACTGTCAAAACATAACTTAGTTTAGTTTGTGTTGTATATAATTAAATTTATTTAAAAACGAAT